CCCAGCTGCCCCAGAGAGAAGGCACCAGGTTTGCTCTTTAGCTAGAAGTGGGGCAGGGGCAGGTGAGGAGCTGAGCAAGCCACCTTCTGTGTGACCTCCCCCAGCAAATCAGTGACAGCCCTGTCCCCCAACCCAAGGGCCTCTACCCTTCTGACCACGTGGATGGAGCAGGCCTGGAGGAACTGTTTTGGGCCTGAGGATGCAGGCCCAGTGGGCCTCAGGGGTCATGTTGCCTGTCCCCCTCCCTCATTCCGTGATTGGTCTCACGGCCTTCCCAAAACTATAGGCCCATGCCCCCCGATTCTAGTAACACCAGGAACGTGCCTGACGTGGTGTGTGTGGCCTGGCCTCTCCCTTGAGTCTTGGTTTGGGGGTGGGGTTGGGCAGGCTTACTCCCCAGTCTCCACTGCCTTCCATGTAGAATTTTGAGAATATTAAAGCCACTTAGGGCCGGGCGTGGTGGCTCAAGCCTGTAATCCCAGCACTTTGGGAGGCCGAGGCGGGTGGATCACTAGGTCAAGAGATCAAGACCATCCTGGTCAACATGGTGAAACCCCGTCTCTACTAAAACTACAAAAAATTAGCTGGGCATGGTGGCACGTGCCTGTAATCCCAGCTACTCAGGAGGCTGAGGCAGGAGAATTGCCTGAACCCAGGAGGCGGAGGTTGCGGTGAGCCGAGATCACGCCATTGCACTCCAGCCTGGGTAACAAGAGCGAAACTCCGTCTCAAAAAAAAAAAGGAAAAAAAAAAAAAAAAAAAAAAAAAAAAAGCCACTTAGGACTCTTCCCCTGAACTCTGGCTCGGTAGATCCATCTGCCTTCTGGAGGCCTGCCCCACAGCTCCTGATACTCCAACTCGACCTGCTCCTCCTCCTCCTGGGTCCCCATCTGGGTGATGTGTGTTCAGCCAGGCTGGACTCCTCCTCTGCATGAGTGCTCCCCAAGGCTGTAGATCTCCATTTTCGGGGAGCTCAGTGTCCCCTGGCCTCTGCTTCCTGCTTTTGTGAGATGTCCGTTCTACTGACCACCTGAGTGGTCATTCTAGCAGCAGAGCTGACCATGCCCTGCCCTACTCAATTCCTGAGAACTCCAGTGGGTTCAGGATCAAGGTCAGGCTACTCCTCACCCCCTCGGGCTACAAAGAACCCCCTCTTTGGGAAAGCTCTTTAGGTCTAGTCTAGTTTGTCATCTTTTTCTTTTTTCTTTTCTCCTTCCTGTTAAAACTCTCAACTTTCGGAGTGATCTGGTCTGGCTCCCAGCATCTGCTGACTGGAGGGTGCTTGCCAAGGGCTTTGAAAGGAACCTGGCACAGTTGGGGACCACAGCCCCAGAGCATGGTGGGAGTGTCCTAGAACACTCTGCACTGCACAAGAGCAGGGCCCGGGGCTTAGGGAGATGCCCCTGCTCCCCTTCCAGGACAGGATGTGGCCCCAGTCTTACAGCTGCAGCCTCATCTCGACGCCTAGTTCTGTGTCCCGTGCTGTACACTTGTCTCACCAACATGAATCCACAACACCTTGAAGCCTGTGCTCTCATCCCTGTGGCTGGCAAGCCCTTTCTCTCCTTTCTATGCAAGTTTGGTCTCTGCTTTTCCAGCGCACCTCCTGGGAGATGGGCCTCCCACCCACAGAAGCCATAGCACTCTGACCCTTGGGCCAGGAGGGGCTTAGAGCACATGTTGACCAAGACTAGTGCCTGAGACTCACAGAAGTGGGAACAGGCTGTGGACAGAGGGCTGCATGGGTGGGTCGACGTGGCCAAGTTCTGAGTGCCAGCTCCTCAGCCTCCCAGACTGGCGAGCGGCTGGATTCCTGCAGGGGCCTGGGCCCCACCCCCTTGGCATGGTGCTGAGGCTGCTGCCGGGGACACACAGCAGCCTCATTCTCCACCCACCCACCTCCCTCAACTTGCTTTTTTGCCAGCAAAGAGTTGAAATTCACAAGCTGCGTCAAGGTGAGAACTTAATCCTGGGCTTCAGCATTGGAGGTGGAATCGACCAGGATCCTTCCCAGAATCCCTTTTCGGAAGACAAGACAGACAAGGTGAGGGGGTGTGGGGTCCTGGGACCGCTCCATGGGGCACTGGGGCCTGAGATGATGGGTCTCTGCTTCCTGGGTCTGCATGGAAGGAGCAGACCTCACTTCTCAAACCATGCTAAGAAGGCATCGGAAGTGACCTGGTGGGAATAAGGACGGGTAGGGGTGAGGACGGGCTGCCCAGACAGAGCCCCGGAGGGGCAGGGGGCGGCCATGAGCAGCACTGGTGCGTGGCTGGGCAGCCGCACTCTGCCCTGGCTGTCTCGGAGCAGTCCTCACTGTGTGTGCTGGGAGAGGCTGGGTGCAGGCACGGAGGGACGGCTGGAAGTGTACCATGCTGCCTTCTGCTCTGTGGCTAAGGGGCCAGGCTGGTGACTGCAGGGCTGGCCCCTTACCCACAGAGCAGAAGCCAGCATGGTGACCTGGGCTGCCTTGTTTCAGGGCATTTATGTCACACGGGTGTCGGAAGGAGGCCCTGCTGAGATCGCCGGGCTGCAGATTGGGGACAAGATCATGCAGGTAACGGGCGTCCCAAAGGAGGTCTGGGCCGGCAGGTCTGCAGCATGTGGTGTGGGGGCTACCCCAGCCTCCCAGCCGGGAGAGACACTGCAGCTGACTGGGAACCCAGGCTAGCGTGCCCCAGAGAACGCTGGCTTTCTCTCCTGTGTGTGTCTCAGCCACAGTGCTTGGTGTCCCCCCGGCCCTGGGATGTTAGGCCGGGGGGCCTGCTTGAATGACCTGGGCCCCCCAAGCCATCTGCTTACAGAGCCCCAAGGGCAGGGAGCTGAGGGGCCCTGTGTTCTCTCCCTGGGCCAGGTGAACGGCTGGGACATGACCATGGTCACACACGACCAGGCCCGGAAGCGGCTCACCAAGCGCTCGGAGGAGGTGGTGCGCCTGCTGGTGACGCGGCAGTCCCTGCAGAAGGCCGTGCAGCAGTCCATGCTGTCCTAGCAGCTGCCATCGCCCGCGACTCACGCCTGCTGTCTCTGAACAGTAACACCACTTCCGCACCCGGTCCCCATCCTGGCTTCTGCTGAGCGCTGGGCCTCAGCTCAGAAGGGCAACAGCTGATCCCAGAGGCCCATCCCCGGCCTGTGGCCTCTGGGACCAGCTTTCTTCCCTGGACACACCTGGAGCTGAGTGGTAGCTGGTCTGCTGTGACCACAGGTTCAGGCCCGACCCTGTTGCCCAGCCACAGCAGTGGGCGGGCGAGTGGGAACCACCTCCTCTTGGGAGCCGCCAAAGCTGGGAAATGCAAGGGCGGGGGGCTTTCCCACTTTGTCCAGGCTGCAGGGCTCGGCTCTGCCCCCACCTGTCTGCCCACCTCTACCTGACAGTGCCTCTGCTCATTAGGGCACTGGCCACACATCCCACCAGAGGCGCTATGAAGGTTGCCTGGCTCCTGTTCACTCCCACTGCCCCAGGGGTGCTGGCCTCCCCAGGGTTCACCTTCTTACAGGATTTAGCTGACACTTCAGGGCAGCTCTCAGGATTGCCATTTTCCTCTTTGCCTGTGGGTGTGACTTTTGTATTTTTTTAATCACAAGTTTGATACAAAATATTTTTATCATACTCTTCCGCGACACCCGTGACACCCATTCTGCTTTTGAATGTAGCTTACTGATCATGTCTGGAAACTTACAGGTGCGCAGCCTGACTCCATTACTGTGGAAGCCACTGCCGCCCTCCCCCACGTTGCGTGCTCAATAAACAGTGCTGGAATTCACAGGGTCTTTGCTGATGCATGGGCTGGGGTATCTCAGGGGTGGGATACTGGGGCCAGAGCTGTGGTTTTAAGGATGGCCCCATCCCCCACTGTTCTGGGACAAAGCTCACCTCTCCCAGGCCTACCTGCCTGGCAAGCCTGGGGCTGGAGGGGCTGTAGCAGCTGCCCTGCGCTTGCCCAGAGCCACATCTGTGGGAGCTGTGGCGGGACCCTGGGGTGCATGTGGTTTCTTGTTCCTAACTTCCTTTTTGCAACCTAGAAACCCCTGCCTGTAAGACTGTATCACAGTGAGGAACACAACCCCACGTGTTCCTGGGGCTATCGTCGGGCCAGATGAGGGTGAGCCAGAACCCAGCCGACCTGCCTACCAGCTCTGGGAAGGCGTTAGCACTCCTGAGCTACCGAGCACGGCCAAATCAGATTTTAAAGAAAAGTCAATCATCTCTTTTTTTTTTTTTTTGAGACAGAGTTTCGCTCTTGTTGCCCAGGCTGGAAAGCAACGGTGCGATCTCTGCTCACTGCAACCTCCACCTCCTGAGTTCAAGCAATTCTCCTGCCTCAGCCAACAGAGTAGCTGGGATTACAAGCGCCTAGCGCCATGCCCAGCTAATTTTTGTATTTTTAGTAGAGATGGGGTTTTGCAGTGTTGGCCAGGCTGGTCTCGAATTCCTGACGTCAGGTGATCTGCCTGCCTTGGCCTCCTGAAGTGCTGGGATTACCGGTGTGAGCCACTGTGCCTGGCTGGAAAAGTCAGTAATTTGAAATCTCTCATTTTTAAAATTAAAGTATGGCACCCAGTAACACATTTACTGGGTGGCATGAGTGAAACAGGTCTATGGACCTGGTCTGGCCAAAGTCTCTGCTCTGCAGAAACCAGCCCTTAAATTCTCTGATGTTTGTTAGAACAAGACAGGAAGAAGGTGGAGTGGGACCCCCACTGCCCCAGCTCCCAGTGCTGGTATGCCCTTCAGGACCTCAGCCGCCCCGCTCACATCCAGATGAGTGGCGTGCCGTGGTAATAGAGAGCCATGGTGCCTGGGAGACCTACCTGGCCCTGGGCGGGCGGGCGTCTTGCGCTACCCAAGAGGGCTCCCCAGTGCAGTGTGGGGTCAGCACGCAGCCACCTCGGGTCAGCAAACTCCACAACCTTACGAGCTTCTTTACGTGACGGGAGCAAGGGCACTTGGCTCCGAAGGCCAGCACACCTGCCTTCTGTATAGCAAACGCTCAGAGTGCAGAAAGGAACAGGAGTCAGGTTTTAATTCAAGATACCGGCCCCTCGCGCTGATCTTGTAGAATAAAACTCAGTGGACTGAAATTCGAGTCCTGTAGAAGGCACGTCCTGGGACCCTCCCCTCCGCCACAGAAAGGACGAAAGCTTTGGGTGGAGGGAAGCGGGTGTGAGATGAGGGCTGGGCCATACAGATTGTGCAAGGTGGTCTCAAGTACAAATACTTCTCTGAGGCTCCGGAACAGGCCAGAAATTGGCGAGCCTCAAGTAGGGGTCTGGGGAAAGCGAGAAGAAGGGGGCCTGTCCTCCCTCCAGGGTAGCTGGTCGCTCTTTGGCAGGCCTAACAGACCTCTAAGGCACAGACCGGTAGCGGGAGAGAGGTGTGTCCTGTACCCCAGATACTGGGTAAGGAGCAGCTGGGTGTGTTCGGATGGGGCTCATCTGACGGAAAGTGGAGGTAGGAGAGAGGGCAGAAGAGCGTAAGCCACTTCAAACGGCCCTCCAAAAACCCTGAAGGGAGTTAGTATGCTAATCTGCTGGGTGCGAGTCCAATCCAGAACTGATCTGGTGGACACCTCAGGGCTCAGCAATGCTCTGGGTAAGGCCAGCTGTTACTGCAGTCGTGGACGCTCAGTTATGTAGAAAGAGTGCGTCAGGAAAGTGGCCTTCGGAGAAAGAACCCCACGTCCGAGCCCAGAGTCCTAACCCGAAGTCTGAGCCCCTCCACCAGCACCTCTGAGTCCGTTGGCCACGGCGCCTGGCTGCTTGGTCTCTGGGAACACAACGGTGGCAGCAAAGTGCCCTTGGCACTCCCGGCTGCAAGGTCAGCCCTTCAAGCTGCTCCCAGACACGCTGGTAGTTTGGGGCAAGGCCTTCGGCTGCAAGCTCATTGCCCAGTCCTGCCTGAGGCGGCTGCCAGAGCCTGTGCGCACTGCCTGGAGCCTTAAAGAAAAGAGAGATGGCGGCATCAAGATGAAGGTGCCACGTGCCTGGCTGGGGAGGCCCGGGGCGGGCCCAGGCGAGAGCAGGCTGCTGAAAGACCTTTGGCCCCAAGGAGCAGCGCGCTCCCTCCGTCCGCGCACTGAGCCGGCCCTGAATGCCAGGGCCCAGCCACTTCTGCGGCCTTCGCTGCGTGGGGCCTTCCCCACCGGGCACGAGGCCTGGGGCTGTGTGCACTGAGTCCCTGGGCGCTAGTCGAGCTGGTCGTACCCCGGTCTCTTTCTGTACAAACAGAAATGCTGGATGAAGAAGATGATGTCGAAGAAAATGGAGAAGAGGCCGAGTCCAAACTTGGTTGGGTCTCCGAAGATCAGCGTCCACTGGTCTGCGAGCAGCGGGGGACGGAAGCTGGGGTTAGGCTGGCGGCTCCAGAGGCCGCTGGAGCACGTGGGTGGTGGGAGGTGGGAATCCCAGAAAACCACAAATCTGCCAGCTACAAAGGCCCCTAATGGGTCTGTCCGTGGGGGCGGCTGGGCTTGGATCCCAGGCCGGGGTGGAGGCTGGCGGAGGGCCCCGGGGGCACCGCGGCTGACTCACCGTTGTTGTAGGACTGCAGAAACATCTGCAGGAGGCTGAAGCTGCCCCCGGTAAAGTCCAGCAGCACGTTGCCGATGCTCCAGCCCTCAGTGCTTTTGTAGTGAAAGTTCATGTAGGCCTGGGCCAGACGGACAGACACATGGAGGGTGGTGGGGGGGCGGCTGCCTCCCGCACCTCGTGACTGTCCCTCCAAACAAGAGCGGTTCTCACTCCCACTCGAGCCATGGCTCCAGGGAACACAGTGACCTTTGGGCTATGACAGGCCTCGGCCAAAAACAGTTTGCGTGGTCCTGGGGGCAGGGGCCTCATCTGCATGTACAGCAAGCAAAGCCCCCCACCAACTCCAGTGGAGGCAGGCCAGATGCCGCCTTCCTGGCTCCTCCCCGTCCCTGGGGACAAGGCTAGTTTCCCAGCAGCTACGATTCTTCTCACCTCCAGTGAAGGCTGTCCCCCCTCAGCCTGGACTTCATGCTGTGCTTAGGGACTGGGTGGGGAGCCGGACTGCTGGTTTGGAAGCCCAGCTCCGTCACTGGAGCTTGCTACCTGGGGCAAGCGCCTACTTCTAGCCTTAGCTTCCCCATCTGTAGAGTGGGTTAACTCCCGCCGCAGGCCTGGCGGAGGCTTCCTGGGTCTGGAAGTGGGTCTGTGGGGGATGTGCCCCAGTCTGACTGGCTGTGCCCCCCATCCTCCCATGCCACAGAACCCCGTGTGTCCTGTGCTGCCACCTTTCCTTCCCCCAGCCATGCAGCAGCGCCCTGAGGGTCCTCTGACTGCTGCGACCTTCCCTTCCCCCTCAAGGCAGGTCTTGGCCTCGCAGTCAGCCTCCACTGGGTCCCGTCTGTGTACTGGCTCTCCCTCTTCTGTACCTGCTGCTGCTCCTCCAGTCCTGGACAATTCCAAATGCGTCCAACCCAGGGACCTGCCTCCCCAGCTTCTTGGCCCGAAGCCTTCCCACCCTCAGGGACTGAGCCCCACTTCCCCAAACCGTCCCCTCCTCGGAAGCCCTCCCCAGCTCCAGGGCCCTGGCCCGGCCTCCGGGCTTCAACACTCTCAGTACTGTTCCAGCAGCCCGTGCCCTCACTACCCCGCACTGTCTGGCCCCCACCTCTGTGCAGGCTGCCCGGCCTGGAACGCCGCCGCCTCCTTGTCCATAGAACTCAGTCCTGCTTGCCCTGAGCGCAGCCCCGCCTCCCCCTCGAACCCTGTCCCTCCCAAGGCAGAAAACACGAGGCTCCCAGGGCTGGGGACACGGAACGGGGCTCCTCCCTCGGGGAATGGGGTGAGTTAAATGAGGCTCTACATCCCCAGGTGCCACAACTGCAGCCCGACCCTGTCCCAGCTGTGCTGGCCCGGAGTCCCCGGGTCTGAAGAGGACGGCTGTGCTCCTAGGAGGGACAGAGCTCTGCACAGGGGGCTCCCTCCCCCCCACCTCACCTCTCCCGTCTCCACTGTGGTCCCCGGGGCTGCCCTTGCTGTAGAAATGGAGGCAGTGGTGGGGGCAGAGCCAAAGGCATCAGGAAAGACTGGGGTGTCGGAAGGGGAACCACCTTCACGACATCTGATGCTCAGGGGAGCATGGGGTCCCGGAAGCCTCCCCTAAAGACCTCATGAGACTCCAGCCAGAGGGAGAGCGGCAGGCTGGCTTCCCCATGCCCCGCTCCTGCTGGGTTCCCCGACTCCCTGTGGCTTTCCGTCCTGTCTCCTCGCCCTGGCAGGGGCTGGCGCACAGGAGCAGGGTCCGGACGGTGTACCTCTCACCCCTCCCACGCCGGCCATGTGAACCAGGCCCTGGAAGTACCTGTGGAAAATACTTGACCAGTGTGACCGCGAGCTTGATGTAGGAGAAGCAGAAGAGAAACTGCAGCCACGTGGTCACCCCCACCGCAGCCATGATCATGGTGACGAACGCAAAGAGCCACGCCAGCACCAGGAAGCCGATGGCGGGCCAGGACATGCGCTGGCCTCCACGCTGGGGGCAGGAGGAGAGGGCAGAGATGCAGACTCGCACAGAGGACGCTGGGGCTGAGCAGGGATGGCTCCGGATAGGGCGGGCTTAAAGGGGGGCACAGAGGCTGGACCCTGGCATTGAAGCAGCCCCTGTGAGGGGGGCCTGCACTGGGGTCATGGGGGGGAACATCTGGGTCACAGAAAGCATCAACACCTGGGTAGGGTCACATCCCCACGCCAACCACCCCTTCTCATCGTCGGGGTCTCCACTCAGGCCACTGGGCTCTCATGTTCCCGGCTGCTCTGTTCCCACCTGGCAGAACTGGGTACCCCTCCACTCACTCAGGGGAGGAGGGCGGTGGAGACAAGGGCTCCGACCTCTGAGGCCTGGTGCCTCTCCCGGCCAGGCACTGCCTCGTTCCCCGAGCTGCGGCAGCCCGAGATCTGAGGAATCTGGCCCCCAGTCTTGCCTTTCCCTCAGCACGGCCCCACAGTGTTCCTTCACTCTCAATTCACACCAAAAGCTAACAAAGCCTGGAAGGTTCACACAGGTGGGAGCACACAGCCCCCAGTGGGCTGTCCTGTGTGAACTCCCTGAGAAGTGAACCAAGGCTGTCCCAGCAGTGGTCTCCCGACCCAGCCCTGGCGCGGCCCTGCCCTGCTGACACCCACGGCCTCTAGCAGCCAGGCTGGGCGCAGGTCCTGCCGGCTGCATTCGGGGCCCTCCTGACCCCTTGGGACCTGCCCTTCCTGGCACCCTGAAGCCCAGCTGCACCCACCTGCTCAGGGTTCCTCTCAAATGCCCCTGGCCTCCGTGACTGGACCCCTATAGGAGCTCACCCTGGCCCCGCCCCTCCTCCGTGGGAACCTCACTCATCCTTGGAGGGCTTGGCAAGCGTCTTCGTCTGCTCTCCGCCCTCCTCCCCCCTCCCTGGTGGGCTCAGGGCCTTGCCTCCTCCATGAGCTGCCTGCTTCTCTGCGCATGGCTCTCGGCCTGAGTCTGATCACTGCTTCTCCGAGTCCTTCACCGCAGACTCGGGGACTCTGAGGGCTTGGACTCAGGTATGTACTATGCCCACACGGGCCCTGGCCGAATGAACGCACACCCTTTCCCTTCCCAGGGTCTGCCGCGTCTTGTGTCCAAGGTCAGCTGGGTGGCGGGTGCTGGCCGGGCAGCCGTGGGGGCCAGGCCTGGACTCACCTCATATAGGCAGCACTGCACGATGACGATCAGAGTGAGGACGACGGCGTGCAAGCTGAAGAAGACGTCGTTGCTGTTGACAGGGTTCACTCCATTGGGGTATTTGAGGAAAAACTGCTCCTGTTTAGCGGGGGGGAAGCTGGGTGGTGAGGGGCGCCGGGCTGCCACGCCGCAGGGGCAGGGCTGTGGGGCAGGTGAGGCCATACCTTGACGTACGGCACCCAGAGGAGGCTGATGTTGAACACGCTGTAGGCCACGAAGCCCGTCAGGTTCAGGGCCACGAAGTCAAAGCTCAGCCCGACGACGCTGCGGAGGGGTGGAGGGTGGGAAGGGGCACGGCAGGGCAGGGCGAGGATGGCGCCACTGCAGCGAACGGGAGGGACAGGCTCCCAGGCGGCGGGGAAGGAGGGCTCGGCCCTGTCCTTTGGTTCCTCCTGCTACCACCATGGATGCCACCCAATCCCTGCTCTCGAGCGCCACTCCCCTCCTCCCTCCCTTTCTCCCATGCTAAGATCTCTCTGCTCCTCAAGTCCTGGCTCCAGAGGGAAGTTGGGAGGCCTGCTGAAGAAACCATCCCCCTCCCGGCTCTCTGCTTCCACCCCCCAGGAGGCCCACGTGGCCCTGGTGACGGCAGGACAGCTTGTGTCCTCACTGCACGTGGATGCACACAGTGGGACCACTTTGCCTCACACAGGACTTGACACTGCAGTCCTCCGGGGCCGGATGGGCCTGGGCAGAGCAGACTCAGGGAGGACTTCCCCCTCCCCTGGCCAATCTCCACTAGACTAAGGAGCCCCGTTTTGTTGCTTTCACAGGGAGGGGCTGAGCTGGGCAACAGATGAAATGCCCAGCGCTGGAGTCCCGCCCAGGCTCTCTGAGCTGTCCCACCAGGAGAGCTTTCTGGAAAAGGCAAGCAGGCGGAAGGGCAGAGGGGGGCATCTGAGGCTGCACCATCCCAGCCTTGTTGGAACACCCTGCTCCTAGAGGTGCCAAGACAGCCTGCACACAGGCCCAGCGGGTTACCTTCTCCGCCTCCAATTCATGACCACCTGAGGATAGAAGGAGATGGACCAGGCCACAAAGTAGATCCAGCCAATCACCTGGTTGATGATGCTGACGGCGCTGCTGCGGATCACCAGGAAGCGTATCCGCGGGCTGGAAGGGGGTTTGGGGACACGGATGAGCCGAGGCTGGGCTTCCGAAGGAAACTCCCATGCACCCAGCACGGCCCGATTCTTGTCATGTGAGGCCCGCACGCGCTCAGGCCAGCCTACCCGGTCCGATTGGAGTGATTTCCATGCAGATAAATTGTAACTTGTCCGACATTTTGGGATGTCACTTGAAAAGAGGAATTTGTCACTCCGGGAGGCACCACAACCTGTTAGAAGACAGAGGTTCAATCCGATGCTATGTACAATTGCAGAGGGCCCTGCTGGCATCTAGCTCCATGCTACACGCCAGGGAACGAAGGGAGGCATCACCCACAGCCCCACCTTCCTGCCCCTTGCACTCCCTGTTCACTGTGTTGCCCAGGTTGGTTTTGAACTCCTGGGCTCAAGTGATCCACCCCCCTCAGCCTTTCAAAGAGCTGGGATTACAGGTGTGAGCCACCACACCTGGCCCAGACTTTTTTTTTTTTGGTGAGATAGACTTGTCTCCTCCGTCACCCAGGCCGGAGCGCAATGGCGACATCTTGGCTTACTGTAACCTCCGCCTCCGGGTTCATCTCCTGCCTCAGCCTTCCAAGTCCCGAGTAGCTGGGATTATAGCGTGTGCCACCATGCCCAGCTAATTTTTGTATTTTTAGTACAGATGGGCTTCCACTGTGTTGGCCAGGCTGGTCTCAAACTCCTGACCTCAGATGATCTGTCCACCTTGGCCTCCCAAAGTGCTGTGTGTGAGCCACATCGCCTGGCCTGCGTGAGACTTTCTGAGCAGAGGTGTGGATTTGTCCTCATGTCCTCCTCTGGCTTATCTCTGAGGGAAGGAGGAATGGCTCTTGTCCCCTCATTGAGCACGTTACCTCCCGCAAGTTATTCAAGCTCTGATTTCAGGTTGCTCATCTGTAAAATGAGTTAACAAAATTGTCTACCTTGGCTGCGTGTGGTGGCTCACGCCGGTAATCCCAGAACTTTGGGAGGCCGAGGCGGGTGGGTCACCTGAGGTCAGGAGTTCCGAGGCCAGCCTGACCAATACGGTGAAACCCTGTCTCTACTAAAAACACAAAAGTAGCCGGGCATGGTGGCACATGCGGAGGCTGAGGCAGGAGAATCGCTTGAGCCTGGGAGGCGGAGGCTGTGGTGAGCCGAGATCGCGTCATTGCACTCCAGCCTGGGCAATAAGAGCGAAACCCTTTTTCAGAAAAACAAAAAAAGTGTCTACCTTTCAGGGCTTCCATGAATAACAGGATGTCCAGAAAGGCCACAGCACAGACCCTGGCACGCAGCAAGCTGGGCCACTGCGCTACACAATACGATCACTTCTACTTCACCGCCATGAGGCTCCTCAGTGTCCACAAAAGCTCGTCTGCCCTGTGCCCAGCCTGGCTGCCAAGTGAGAAAGCAGACGGGGCACACACGAGACACTCGGCACGGAGGGCGTTTTCACTCTGCTGCTACCCAACATTTAGCAAATGCTCTGCTTCCAGAAAACGCACCCGGGGGCCGGCCTGCAACATCCGATCTCCCAAGCACTCCTCCTGAGACTTTGTTTTTTCTGAGATGAGTTTCACTCTTGTCACTCAGGCTGGAGTGCAGTGGCGCGATCTCAGCTCACCGCAACCTCTGCCTCCTGGGTTCAAGCAGTTTTTCTGCCTCAGCCTCCCGGGTGGCTGGGATTACAGGCATGCGCCACCATGCCTGGATAATTTTTGTATTTTTAGCAGAGACAGGGTTTCACCATGTTGGTCAGGCTGGTCTCAAACTCCTGACCTTATGTGATCCACCTACCTTGGCCTCCCTAAGTGCTGGGTTACAGGTGTGAGCCACTGCACCCAGCCCTTCCTGAGGCTCTTAAATCCTCCTGGAGTGGTGGAGGACAGGATGATATCCTTACTGAACCACACTGTCTCTCCTGGTCCCCAGCTCCTGTGCTCCCTGGGTAACAGTCCACCCATATTGCAGGGACTGTGAGGATCTGGCTCATTAGATTGCAGTGGCTGCTTTTTTTTTTTTTTAAAGACTAGCCAAGTGCAGCAGTGAGAAGCGGGGAAAGAGTAGAACAAGGAGTTTGATCTGTAACTGACTGTCAACAATCAGTTGAGATAACTCACTACCTTCAGACCAGCCAGCTTCAGCTTCTTAAGAGTCAGGGTCTTGCTCTGTAGCTCAGGCTGGAGTGCAGTGGTACGAACGTAGCTCACTGATCACTCCAACTCCTGGGCCTCAGTGATCCTCCCACCTCAGCCTCCTGAGGAGCTGGGACTACAGGCGCTCTGCCGCAGCCTGCAGTGGCTTCCTAACAAGGACCTCTGAAGGGCTGCCTCCTTGTTCTTAGCATCAGAAATCAGGGGCTTCAGCAGAACAAGTGAAATGGTGTGGCGGCTGCTGCAAAGCCTGGAGTCCAATGCATGGTCTGTATCCTGCAAGCTACGACTTCACGACACGTGCCACTCCTGGCTCTGTAATTTTCCTGTCACTCACTTTTTCTTATTTTTAACAGATACTCCTTGCGACGTTGTTTGCATGTTGGTTAAGTGGCCACTGAATCCCTTCTGGAACTAGGCAGGGAGAAAATCAGTAGACTGACTGATACAAGACAGAATGAAATGATAGTCGCTGCCTTTCACTGAGTACTTCCTATGTGCCATGGATGACCCTAGACATTGTCTTTTTTTTTTTTTTTTTGAGACGGAGTTTCGCTCTTGTTGCCCAGGCTGGAGTGCAATGGCGCGATCTCGGCTCACCGCAATCTCCGCCTCCTGGGTTCAGGCAATTCTCCTGCCTCGGCCTCCTGAGTAGGTGGGATTACAG